TGCTGCTACGACTACTACTACTACTAACTACTACTAACTACTACTACTATTACTACTACTACTACTACTACTACTACTACTACTACTAGTACTATAACTACTACTACTCTACTACTACTTCCTACTACTCTACTACTACTACTACCCTACTAACTACTACTAACTATTCTACTACTACTAACTACTACTACTACTACTATTACTACTACTACTACTACTACTACTACTACTACTACTACCACTATTATTATTACTACTACTACTACCACAACAACAACTACCACTACTACTACTACTACTACTACTACTACTACTACTACTACTACTACTACTACTACCGCTACTGCTACTGCTACTGCTACTGCTACAGCTACGACGATGAGGAGAAGGAGGAGGACGGCGTTTACCGCTCCCACTAATGTTGCTTTCCTAGAGGCTACAACTCCTAGGTCGGGTCGCGCTGGGGTATTTTTTTGTTTTGTTTCCGTTGTTTTGGTCGGTTGATGGGTTTCTTGGGGGGGGGGTGCTAGCCGCGCGTCCTTGTTACCCGCCTTGGGTGCAGCGAGCGCACGGGACGCGCCCCTCAGAACCGCCTTGACCTTGTTGTTGCCGTTGTTGTCGTTGTTGTCGTTGCTGTTATTGTTGTTGTCGTTGTTATTGTTGTTGTTGTTGTCGTCGTCGTCGTTGCTGTTGTTGTTGTTGTTGTTGTTGGTGGTGTTGTCGCTGTTGCTGTTGCTGTTGCTGTCGAGGTTGTGGTTGTTGTCGTTGTTGTTGTTGTTGTTGTTGGTGAGGACGGGTTTCTGGTCCCCTGGGGGCCTGGGTGCCAGATCCCGGGCCCCCCTTGCTGGCGAGGACGGGTTATTGGTAGCCTGCTCCCCAGTTGTGAGGGGGGGGGAGTCGCGGGCGCAACCGCGCAACCATCACCACCACAAGCTAATGGAAATGAGTTAGTAAGAATTTCCGAGTCGAGTACCCAGTTCAATTCTCAGCAGAACACGGATGTGCGCGCCAGCGAAGCGAGCTTCTACAGCAAACCTATCCAAATTCTATTAAAGCTGCGTCCAGCTCTAATAGAATGCTAGTAGAGCTGCGTCCAGCTCTAATAGAATCCTACTGGAGCTGCGTCCAGCTCTGATAGAATGCTACTAGAGCTGCGTCCAGCTCTGATAGGCTGCTACTAGAGCTGCGTCCAGCTCTAATAGACTGCTACTAGAGCTGCGTCCAGCTCTAATTGAATCCTATTAGAACTGCGTCCAGTTCTAATGGAATGCTGCTAGGGCTGCGTCCAGCTCTACTAATACTACCATTAGAGCTACCAGAACGCGTCCAGCTCTGATAGAATGCCTCTAGAGCTGCGTCCAGCTCTGACAGAATCCTAGTACAACTGCGTCCACCTTTAATAGAATCCTGCTAAAGCTGCGTCCAGCCCTAATAGAATCTTGCTAGAGGTGCGCCCAGCTCTAATATAATGCTTCTAGAACTTCTTCCAGCTCTGATAGAATGCTACTGGAGCCGCGTCCAGCTTTCATGGAATGCTATGAGGACTGCGTCCAGCTCTAATTGGATCCTGTTTGAGCTGCGTCCAGCTCTAATAGAATGCCACTCGAGCTGCGTCCAGCTGTAATGGAATTTCAATAGAGCTGCGTCCAGCTCTAATAGAATGCTATTATAGCTGCGTCCAGCTCTAATAGAATCCTAACATAGCTGCGCCATCATCATCATCATCATCATCATAGTCATTACCAACCAACAGAATCATCATCACCAACCTCCCCATCAGCAAAATCAGCGTCATCAGCGTCGTCGTCAGCATCATCGTCGTCACCGCTCTCATCATCATCGTCATCAGCATCACCGCCATCGTCGTCGCCTTCGTCAGCATCGGCTTCGTCATCGTCATCGTCATGAGCACCGTCATCGTCATCTTCGTCGTCATCAGCATTGCCATCGTCATCGCCATCGTCATTGTCATCGTCATTATCAGAACTCTTGGCATCCCCAGTACTGCCCCCAAGTCTTGAGATCAAAGGTGCCCCATTATATGGCATTCCGCAATCCGCGTCCCGGTCATCCTCCGTCTCCAATCGTCCTTTTCGTCTTGATCACCCTCATCACTTCCACGGCGACTACCACCGTAGTAATGAACATCCACCCCGCATCTCCTGTGGTATCCCAATTGTTATAAGCGCAACCGTCACAGCCATGATCTCCATCAACACCACAACCATCAACACAACCATCACCAGCATCTCTGTCGCCACCCGTGCCAACACCACCATCATCACCATCACCATCATCACCATCACCATCACCATCACCATCATCATCATCAACATCATTATCATCATCATCATCATCATCATCATCATCATCATCATCATCATCATCATCATCATCAACAACACCATACCCACTGTCATATGTAGCATCCCCGTCACCACCACCATCCTCATGAGCAGCGGCATCAACATCACTATTGCCCCAGCCATCATCAAACGATTCAGCATCCCCACGGGGCGCCACCAGTGAATCCCCAGGAAGCGTGCCCAGGGAGTCCCACTAGCCCTCTGGGCGACAGGTGGTCTAACGAGGGTCTCTTTCCTCTTCCACAACCCCTCTTCCCTTCGAGGAGGGGAATCCTCCCCCACCCCTCCCTGAGCGCTCCTTGGCGCTCTCCCTCCTTTCCCTGAGCGCTCCCCTCCCTGAGCGCTCCCTGAGCACTCCCTGAGCGCTCCACCCACGCGATCCTAGGGCTCCCCTAAGGGCGCCCAATGCACTTCAAGGGGCGCTCTTAGTGTGACGCCAGCGCCCCCCCCCCCCAGCGCGATCCCAATGCACCCCAGGGAACGCCCCCAGTACGCCCCCAGCGCCTCCCCCAGCGCGATCCAAATGCGCTCCAGGGAGCGTGCCCAGGGCGCACAGGGAGCGCACCCAGAACGCTTGCAGGGAGCGTGCCCAGTGCGCCCCCAAGGGTAGAATGGCATGTGCCTTCCCCTCCCCCTGGTGCGCCCTTCCTCCCCCGCCCAATTGCGCCGTTGGTTGCGCTTCCCTCCGCCCTGTTGCGCCCCCCCCCCCCCCGCGGTTGCGGTAACGACCCCCCCCCCGCAACCCCTCCTGGGGTACCAGAATCCCGTGCTCGTCTTGTTGTTGTTGGTGCTGTTGTGGTTGTTTTTGCTGTTGTGGTTGTTGATAATGGCGATGTTGCTGCTGCTGATGATGATGCTGATGCTGACGATGATGATGATGATGATGATGCTGATGCTGATGCTGCTGATGATGGTGATGATGATGAGGCTGCTGATGATGATGATGATGGCGATGATGATGCTGATGCTGATGATGATGCTGATGCTGATGATGATGATGCTGATGATGATGATGCTGCTAATGATGATGCTGCTGCTGATGATGATGATGCTGATGATGATGTACATGATGATGATACTGCTGATGATGATGCTGATGCTGATGCTGATGCTGATGCTGATGATGATGCTGATGCTGATATTGATGATGCTGCTGATGCGGATGCTGATGTAGATGATGATGACGATGCTGACGATGATGATGATGATGCTGATGATGATGATGCTGCTGATGATGATGACGATGACGATGATGCTGATGCTGATGATGATGATGCTGCTGATGATGATGCTGACGATGAGGATGACGATGATGATGCTGATGATGATGATGTTGCTGCTGATGATGATGATACCGATAATGCTAATGATAATGATACTGATAATGATAATGCTAATGCTAATGATACTGATAATGATAATCATGATGACAATGATGATAATGATGATGCTGCTGCTGCTGATGATGATGATGATGATGATGCTGATGCTGATGCTGATGATGATGATGATGATGATGATGATGATGATGATGATGATGATGATGATGATGATGATGATGATGATGATGATGATGATGATGCTGCTGATCATGACGATGATGATGCTGATGTAGATGATAATGCTGCTGATGCTGTCGATTAGTAGCATGATGATGGTGATGGGGGGAGAAGGAGGAGGAGTTGGAGGAGGTGGAGGAGGAAGAGGAGGAGGATGAGGAGCAGGAGGAGAGATGTGGGAGGAGGGATGAGGGAGGCGGCGGCGGCGGCGGCGGCGGCGGCGGATGAGGAGGAGGAGGAGGAGGAGGAGGAGGAGGGGGAGGGGAGGAGGAGGAGGAGGGAGGAGGAGGAGGAGGAGGAGGGAGGAGGAGGGAGGAGGAGGAGGAGGAGGAGGAGGGAGGAGGAGGAGGAGAGGAGGAAGGGAGGAGGAGAGGAGGCGGAGGAGGGGAGGAGGAGGATGGAGGAGGGAGGAGGGAGGAGGAGGTAGGAGGAGGAGGAGGGGAGGAGGATGAGGGAGGAGGAGGAGGAGGGGGAGGGGGAGGAGGAGGAGGAGGAGGAAGGAGGAGGAGGAGTTGGAGGAGGAGGAGGAGGAGGAGGAGGAGGAGGAGGGCGAGCCGAAGAATGGAGGAGAGGGGAAACGGAGAGTGAAACGAAGGATGGAAACGGGAGCAGGTTCGGTTCGCTAGTGCTTGGATGTCTTTGTCGGCGGCGCAATGGGCTCGGCTGGCCCCGTCCGAGGCTACCCTGAATGATGTGGGATCAAGACGAGGAGCACATTGTGGTGAGGAGAAAGAGCATGGATACACGCGGGCAGACGAAGGCGAATGAGGAAATGGGGACTGGAGGGAAGAGGAACGATCTGCGCTGGTTCGAGAAGGTACCCTGTCCACCTCATCCCGAGGGGGATGGCTAGGGAAAGGGTATTCGTCAGCATGATGCAATGGTCATCGGCATCGTAACCATTACCATGCACCATGCCAACACCCACCATGTCACCATCGTCGCCACCATCATCGGCATGATCGTCAGTATCATCAGTGTTACATCCCTAATCTCTAACATGACTACCATCATTGTTACTTATCGCCGTAATCATCGCCATCATCATGCATATTATCTGCACCGTCGTCGTCTTAGGCCGTTCTGGCTGAATAATCGGTGCGTTTGGCAACAGAGCCAGAACGTTACCACAGCATCTGTCATGGGAGGCCACCATTTCGTCTACCATTGTGTTCTTCTGTCCCTACGGAAGAGATCCCCGGGAAGGGAGGAGGAGAAATGATGATGAGGATCACCTCGGTATATAGAGGTGGGGTCTCCCATTGCATTGCGGATTATTTTTGCGTCAGATCCGCCCGGTACAACGCCATGGCGGGTAGCCAAAGCAAGAACCTCGTTGGGGGCGTATGCTTCAAGCCGACGGCAGCCCAGGTGGTTGCAGCCGTCGAGAGCCTTTACGCTGACGTTTTTCGGTTGTTTGTTTGTTTGTTTGTTTGTTTGTTTGTTTTGTTTTGCTGTTGTGTTGTTTGTTGTAGAGTTCAGCCTCAAATAGTTGCATGATTTTTACGTCAACTTCGGCTTCAAAGAGCTGCGTGCTTTGCGAAGCCGAGCTCGTCCCTACAGAAAACTCGTTCTCTCAGGTAGTTGCAGCCGTCGAGAGCCTTTACGCCGACAAGCTCAAGCCATTCGGCCGCATCCTCCTGAAGCGCGTCGGTGAGCACGCGGCCGACATCACCGCTGCGAACGCCCTGAACGGCAAGACCACCTACGGCTACGTGTCCATCGACGAGGGGCACATCCCCCGCATCGACCCCAAGCACCTGATGCGCACCTGCAGGCAGTGCCCCCAGCTGCGCGTGGAGTTCCTGGACTCTGGCGAGTACGCGGCGATGCTCGTGGGATGCCCGCCGACGTTCGTCGACCCCGGCAGCGCCGAGGACCGAAGAAGAAAACACGGAATGAACATATTTTTTTCAGAGTTCTGCGTAGATTTCTTCGATCGACGTTGGACCCCCTCCCTGGCGCGCGGAGCGCGCCAGGGGCGGCACCGGAGGCGCCGCCAGGGGGCCCTAGCGCCGATACAATGAATTTGCGCAGATCTCCCAAAGTTTACTTTCATGCTGTTTCTTTGTTCTTCTATGCGTATCCACGGCCTCGCCGGCCAGGCCCCTTTGCCGCCACCCCTTGGATACGGGGCGTTTTTTTCGTGGATGCCTCGCGCACAATTTATCCGTGCGACCGCGTATCGACGGGATCGCGCCCCAGCATCCAGACCACGAGGTTGTGGATATGGAAATGTTCGCCGCTCGTGAAAGGACCCCTACCCCCCAGAGCTCTGGGTCGACCTGATCGTCTACTTCAACGGCCTCGCAGACTCCCACCCGCCGCTCCCGGGCGGCAGGTACAACAGCGCCCGGGCGCTCAAGGCGCGCGACCTGCCGTTCCTGGAGGGCCGCAGCCTCGGGGAGGTCTGCCACATACTGGCCCTCGCGGTGTCCATGGGCAACGCTAGGGGGGGATAGGCCCAGTGGGGGATGCACCGACCCTGACCCTCACCGGGCCCGGGGACCGTCAAAATCCGACTCAGGATGAAAAACCGGTCCCATGGAAGGGGTACAGACCTCGGCGGAGCCACGTCGCCAAATAAGGACGACGTTGAGTGTCTGGGAAGGCTCAAGGGGGGATGCATCGACCCCCAATCGCCCTCGCCCATCGATCGCTGATACGGGCCGGATAGCCCTTCTTGCGCGGATTCTCTGTCGGGGACTTATCGCCGATTTGCTTGCGATGTGTCGCCGAGTCCAGCTGGAGGTTCCCCCCCCCTAGCCGGTGACCCCCCCTGAAGTTGCGCCTCAGGTGTCCCAGAAGAAGATCCTGGGCCACTTCAAGGGCCACACCGTCCCGTACGCGCGCTCGGAGAACGGGCATAAGGAGTTCTGCGCCTCGGCCGAGCTGCCCGTCTGCACAACGAAGCTGGCGACCGCCGGCATGCCCGTCGCGACCTGGGAACAGGCCTACCAGGGACTGCAGGATCGGGTCGGACAAATGGGAGGGGAGGATCAAGAAAGGGGGGGTCCGAAGCCTGCTGCGTGCGGCTGGTCTCGGCCTCGCCGCGGGCAGGGGCGCTTTCCTCGGTGCACGGGCGGCGGGAGGCGCCGGGAGGCGCCGTGAAAACCAGCCACGTGAGCTGAGTCGCTAACCCCTCCTTTTGCTGTCCACCACCACCACCACCACCATCAGTTGGAGGGGGAGGGGGTCCTCCTCCTCCTCCTCCTCCTCCTCCTCCTCCTCCTTCTCGTCGTCCTCCTCCTCCTCCTCCTCCTCCTCCTCCTCCTCCTCGTCCGACACGGCAGGAGCTGCTCGCCGAGTCCGCCAGCAAGGGGGCCCACGGGATCCCCATGCCGAACGTGAAGCGCCTGTTTCGCTCCAGGCTGGGCCCGCCTCCGTCCTGCTTTCCTCCAAGGAGAGAGGGGGAGGAGGAGGAGGGGGAGGAGGAGGAGGAGGAGGAGGAGGAGGAGGAGGAGGAGGAGGAGGAGGAGGAGGACATTGCTGGGACATTGCTGACTAAGTCTGACCGCTGATGGAAAACACATCGGCCGACGGCTCACTCGCTGTAAGTTTAAGCTCACATGGGAGCTTCACGTGGAGCGCGAAGCAGCACGCTGGCTAGCACGCTCGCACGAAGGAGCCTGAAGCTGCACCCGATGGCAGCGCACGGCACCTCCTACGATTCGGTCCCTGAGGCTCTGCTGCTTCTGATAGCATGGCTCTTCGCCGTGCTCTTCACTTTCTTTCCGGTTCCTGAGGCTCTTGGCTTCTGATGGCCTGCCCTTCACCGCTTCGAAGGCCAGAGGTCCGAGGGAGAGGCGGGGGCGGAGGAGGAAAAGGGGGGGTGGAAGAGAAAGGAAGAGGAGGAACGGCACCCACAGCTCAGACCGTCCCCGACCCGACCTTCTTTACCGCCTTCTTCCCCATGATGGCCACTGGTATCGTCCTTCTCGGACGGGTCCATCATGTGTTGCTTCAGCCTCGTCGCCGTCAGCCGCCAGCAGGCGCGGCGCGCATCGACAGCCTGCAACCTCGCACTGGACGCTGGGGCCGAACACCAGCACTTCTGGCCCCACCTCGTGACGAGCCATTCACGCGGTCGTCCCAATCCATTGTGTGGCCCCTTCCATCAGTGCCGCTCCCAAGTTTGATGGAAGAAACTCGCAGGGGGGCCGAGGCGGGCGGCTTGTCTACGAGAGGAACGGCTGAGGAGGAGGAGGATGAGGAGGAGGAGGAGGAGGAGGGGAAGGAGGAGGAGGATGAGGAGGAGGAAGAGGAGGAGGAGGAGGCACCTTGCTTCTTCGTCCTTCCTCATTCTTCCTTAGCGGCACGTATCACGAGGCAGCCACAGGGATGCTGCGCACAGAAAAGACTGGGGCCTCCTCCTGTGGTCCTCCGAGTGCTCCTCCTCTCGAGGCCAGGCCTCGAGCTCTCGGCTCCCTGCTCCGCTGCCCCCTCCAACCCTGCCCTTCCCCCCTTCTTCCTCTTTCGCTGTCTTCCTGCTTCTCCTTCTTCTCTTCCCAATGACGCTCCTCCTCCTCCTCCACTTCCTGTTCCTCCTCCTCTTCCTCTTGAAAAGGCTTTTCCGACTTCTCCTCCTCTGCCTCTTCCTCTTCCTCCCCCAGATTCTCCTTCTCATCGTCTTTGTCTTCCTCTTGACTGTTCTCTTACTTTCTCAAAGCATCTTCATCATTGTACTGTTGGTCCGTATCATCCTTCTCATCTGCATCCTCATCTTTCTCCTGCCCCTCATCGTCCCATCCTCCGCCTCTTCCTGCTCCTTTTCTTTACCGTCCTCCTTTTACCCTTCCTCCTAAGCCTCCTTTCCTCTTCCGTCACTTGCGGCTCTCCTCTTTCTTCCTTCCCTTCCCCATTCTTCCTTCCTTTTGCTCCAGCTCTTCTTCCTCCTCCCTCTCCTGTTCCTCCTTACCCCTCCTCGTGCTTCCCCTCTCCCTCCCTGTCTCTTTCTCCCTCTCCTTTCCCCGCCCCTTCTTCCTCCCTCCTCCTTCTCTATTCTCTCCCCGTGCTCTTCCTCCCCCTCCTCCTCCTCCTCCTCCTCCTCCTCTCTTTCTTCTCCTCCTTGGAGAGGAGGAGGAATATAAGGAAGGGAGGAGGAGGAGGAGGAGGAGGAGGGGAACTAGGAGGAAGCGGAGGGGGAGGAGGAGGAGGAGGAGGAGGAGCAGGAGGAGGAGGCTGAGGATGAGGAGGAAGAGGAGGAGGATGAGGAGGAGGCGCAGGAGGAGGAGAATGAGGAGGACGAGCAGGAGGAGGGGAGCAGGATTTGGAGGATGACGAGGGGTAGTCGTAGTCGTAGTAGTAGCCATAGTAGTAGTAGTAGTAGTAGTAGTAGTAGTAGTAGTAGTAGTAGTAGTAGTAGTAGTAGTAGTAGTAGTAGTAGTTTACGTAG